GGGATTCCAGATATGAGGGATTCCGGATATGAGGGATTCCTGATATGAGGTATTCCGGATATGAGGGATTCCGGATATGAGATATTCTACTATAATACGATAATAATATATGAATATTACATATATTATTATTTAATACAGTTAAGTAAAACATCAGTTTTATCAAAATCATAATTCTTTTAAATACAGCTGTATTTTTTACTACAACAAATGAATATATATTTTGGTCGACGGCGTAGTCAGTGCCAGCAGTATATACACTAATTTTATATCTCGTGTATGATGAGACCCTCTTAAAATTAGTTTCAAAATTAGGTCTTCAAAAATCACATGATACATGAGTATATACGCTAATTAACATTATCTATAATTGTACAGCTTCAGTTTTGATCCCATAGTTGTCCCTCTCCTAGACTGATTACCGACCACAGAAATCTCAGTTTTCAGTTATTTAACCCATAGCTGGAGTGGGGAGATGAGATCGCTTCATACATTTTCGAAAGCAATTTGAACGAGTTTTTTTTTCTCGCCGTTAACCATGTCTCTACCAGTAAACATGAAAAAAATAAATAAATAGAATTTTCAGTACATTCTTTATTTTAAGAAGTTTAAAAAATAAAACAAAAAAAAATCAAAACAAGTTGTGTAAAATACAACTGTTAAGATGTTTTTGTTTCATTTATAATGCCTTCCTCTTTTATGTAACGTATACTTTCAGGACCTGGGCAGATATGGCTTTCCACAACTTCCTTTGTAGAGCTAAGTAATGTTTGTCACCTTAATATCTATCTTATTTCCTGTTTGACATCCATTTGCACAAGCCGGTTAGATAGGTTACTTGTAGTGTCCTCCTGACACTCTTGCATTCAATATGTACTAAGCGTATCAAATTCTCCAAACCTTCTTTCCGCAATATGCGTTCCAGAAATTTCCGTATATCTATACGATTCTAAGTGTCGTTTTTGTTTCGATTTACTTTAACATTTTCTAGTTGCTCAAATATTCCAACCGTAGTATTCTCAGCATCCTGCTGTAGAACCATATCTCTGTTATCTTTAGTGTTCGTCCGAAATTAAATTAGTTCGGATGTAACTTAGGAAGGCTGGTGCAAAACATCAACCAGAAAATTCGGGTCATATTTTTAAATATCCTCGTCAGACCGAGGACTTTCTTACGGATGTTCTGCATGGCGCCAAATCGGTTCAGAAATCTCTAAAGTGTCGGCAGTATAGAACCGCTTCCTAAAATCAATGTTAAAAATGACTTTGAGCGTGTGATAACTTCTTTGAATATTGTGAACTGGCGCTACAGAATCACAAACAAAGAAATGTACCAAATAACAGAAACCACATTAGTTGACTTTGAACAGCAGCAAAAGCTAAAATGGATAACTCAAATAACTCTAAAAGAAAATCATGATGTTGATTTTCCACGTACATTACACAAAAGGCTAGCAAATAGTTTATCGACTTGAGAATTTCCTCGATAATTGTTTTAAGAAAAATATGTTATAAATTTCAAAGGACAACAATACTAAAAATTTGACTAATGAATTCTGAATGTTTCCTATATAGAAATGGTCAATTACACTGTTATCTTTACCGTTTCCAAACAAAATAAATGCTTATAGACTCCAATATAAAAGACTATATTTACCTTCTCAGATCAAATGAAGTCTTTAGGTTTATTGCCGACCATCCTTCTTCGAACGTCGGCGCCAAAGTATCACAAGGAAACAAAGAACTGAGCCAAATAACAGACAATTGTCCACAACAGCAGCAACTAAAATGGATAGCACGTGTAATTCGAAGAGAAAATAATGACATTCAAAATGTTGACATTTCACACTACTAATACAAGGTACAGAAAGAAACCTCCATCAATACTGCAAAGAGCTATAGCAGCTACTGGACATAAGAAACCTATTTTCCTGAAAAGGTTAGAAATGTAGCCTCCATCAATACTGCAAAGAGTTATAGCATCTACTGGACATGAGAAACCTATTTTCCTGAAAATGTTAGAAATGTAGCCTCCATCAATACTGCAAAGAGCTATAGCAGCTACTGGACATGGGAAACCTATTTTCCTGAAAAGGTTAGAAATGTAGCCGCCATCAATACCGGAAAGAGCGATAACAGCTACTGGACATGAGAAACCTATTTTCCTGAAAATGTTAGAAATGTAGCCTCCATCAATACTGCAAAGAGCTATAGCAGCTACTGGACATGAGAAACCTATTTTCCTGAAAATGTTAGAAATGTAGCCTCCATCAATACTGGAAAGAGCGATAACAGCTACTGGACATGAGAAACCTATTTTCCTGAAAATGTTAGAAATGCAGCCTCCATCAATACTGCAAAGAGCTATAGCAGCTACTGGACATGAGAAACCTATTTTCCTGAAAAGGTTAGAAATGTAGCCTCCATCAATACTGGAAAGAGCGATAACAGCTACTGGACATGAGAAACCTATTTTCCTGAAAAGGTTAGAAATGTAGCCTCCATCAATACCGAAAAGAGCTATAACAGCTACTGGACATGAGAAACCTATTTTCCTGAAAAGTTTAGAAAGGTAACCTCCATCAATACTGGAAAGAGCGATAACAGCTACTGGACATGAGAAACCTATTTTCCTGAAAATGTTAGAAATGTAGCCTCCATCAATACTGCAAAGAGCTATAGCAGCTACTGGACATGGGAAACCTATTTTCCTGAAAAGGTTAGAAATGTAGCCGCCATCAATACCGGAAAGAGCGATAACAGCTACTGGACATGAGAAACCTATTTTCCTGAAAATGTTAGAAATGTAGCCTCCATCAATACTGCAAAGAGCTATAGCAGCTACTGGACATGAGAAACCTATTTTCCTGAAAAGGTTAGAAATGTAGCCTCCATCAATACTGGAAAGAGCGATAACAGCTACTGGACATGAGAAACCTATTTTCCTGAAAATGTTAGAAATGTAGCCTCCATCAATACTGCAAAGAGCTATAGCAGCTACTGGACATGAGAAACCTATTTTCCTGAAAAGGTTAGAAATGTAGCCTCCATCAATACTGGAAAGAGCGATAACAGCTACTGGACATGAGAAACCTATTTTCCTGAAAAGGTTAGAAATGTAGCCTCCATCATTTGTGGAAAGAGCGATAACAGTTACTGGACCTATTTTTCTGAAAATTTGTTTTAAGAGAAAGATTTTATAGATTTCAAACACCATCGATTCTGGTTTCTCCCTCAGTGAATGCCGAATGTTTCCTTAAAAGGGAAACGGTTAATATTACAATAAAAATAGACAGCAAATCAAAATACTACTCTTTGCAGTGAGCTTAACTTTTAAACCATTTCAGTCAGGGGTAAAACCTCAAGAAAGAACATAATCTATCTATATTTCTGCGATGAAGTGTTGTAATTATTTATATTATTTAGATTATTCGGACTGTTATGCTCATCTTTATTATCTTATTCACGACGTTTCAGTCGTCGGACATACCCGCCTTCTTCAGGTGATTGGGATTTAGAAATGAACCCTTTGTTTTGTCCGCTGTGGCAGTCTCAGTCATCTCACCTTTAAATCAAGTTAATATGGCCCCGTGGATAAAAGCGTCGGTTGGATCCAGTGTCTTGACCCAAAGAGATGACAGTTCAATTCCTGGAAACTGCAGTGGTGGACAAAAACTTGTAGAGTTGAGTTGGAACCACATTTCTGTTGCTTCAAGTCTCTTCTTCATATTCGATCCATGGTATTCTTTCTTCCCGATGTTAAGTATAAATGTCCATTTTGTTTTTATTTTCTCTAAAACTTCGTCGTTGCTCACATGTTCGGTCCATGGTATTCTCAGCATGCTTCTGTAGAACCACATTTCTGTTGCTTCAAGTCTCTCCTTCATCATTCAGGATATTGTCCAGAATTCACTATTCAGGTCATAAGGTTGCAACCTCGATAGTTGCATAGGTCTGTACCACTTCCGGCATGCTGTACATTGTGAGAAACCTCTAGGCAAAGTTACACCTAGTAGATTAGGAACAAGTTTCGATACACTTGTATTTATAAGTATAGTTAATATCTCTAAATAGTAAAGTCGAAGAATATTAAGAAAGCTACCATCTTGGACAAAAGGCTATTGATTTGATCAGGAGGAAATTCCAGGAAGATGCAGGCGAGGAAATCTTTTTTTTTTTTCGTAACTATTCCTTCTTATACTATAGGTGTGCGTTATTTGACAGGGAAATGTATCATTACCGAAATATCAGAAATTCACTCAAAGGTATCAAGGAAATTTGCTTACAAATTATTTACAAACAAAATATTTACTTCACCTCCGCGACCTCAACATGTCTCTTTTTTTTTTCATAATCATTATTTTAAAGATGTTTTAAGTTTTTAATTTTATCTATATATTGTAGAGTTTATATATATTTAGTTATTTCTTTCTTTCTTTATTTCTTTCAATCTATCGCAGTTTGGCTTATATATATATATATATATATATATATATATATATATATATATATATATATATATATATATTGTTTTCAATTATTTTACTTTAATCAAGGCAAGAAAGAAATAAAGAAAGGGTTAATGAGTATAACTTTAATTATGAATGAGAACAAAAAAAGAACAAGAATTAAGAGGACAGAATCTATCTATCTATCTATCTATCTATCTATCTATCTATCTATCTATTTCAGTCCTTACTTTGTCTATTTCAGTCTGTTCATTATCTATCTATCTATCTATCTATCTATCTATCTATCTATCTATCTCAGTTTTCACATTATGTTTTTCAGTCTGTTCATTTTCTTTCTTTCTTTCTTTCTTTCTTTCTTTTTGTCCTTCTATCTATCTATCTATCTATCTATCTATCTATCTCAGTCTGTTCATTATCCATTCATCCACCTATTTCACTTTATTTCAATGTTTTTGTTTTTCGTTGAAGACCTGTCAGTATCAAAACAGTCTGGTAGAACAATATCATTTTGAGCAAATATGCACAGACCTCAATAGATATGATCAGGCTGAGATAGATATAAACACGTCAGAGTACAAAAACTAACATCGTTTGGTTGATGGTTCACTGGATAAATAGATAGAAAGATTGAAAAGAAAAAAAAATATATATATATATATATATATATATATATATATATATATATATATATATATATATATATCGAAGAACGAGATGACAAAGATCAAGAGGCGGTCAAATACACATCGGTTCAATGCAGAAACACAATTAATTTAAACAGCGGTAATCGGCATCTTCTTCAAACATCTTCGGCCAGGCTACGCCATCTTTGATTTGAGAGCCTTCAAGATCTTTAGATGCCGGTTCAACTCTTAGGTATCCCTGGGTGAAACGAAATGAATTTGCTGCAACGTTCGAGGGTAGCAGGTGTATTCCATTGCAGGAACGTCCTCGTGTTCGTTTAATCTCTCAGCCGACCGAGCCATACGGTCTTGCACAACCACGGTCGGGGTCTCCGATCCGTAATCACGATTGAGCCGTCAGCGAGGTTTCGCGCGTCCAAAGCATGTGGAGTACAGCTAACACTTTATTAGTTTGCGATAATTGTCTATTTTTTTCTGTCATTTTTTTTTTCTTATTTTTTTTTTTTTTTCAAGAAGATGTTGACACGAACAAATGGAAAGAGAGACATGAGAAATGGAAAGAAAGATAGAAAGAAATATATTTGCAAGTCTGGGAAGAGAACAGCCATTTTGATAGTGTTGGATATCGCGTAAACCAGTTGCGAAGACTTGATGCAACTTGGCAAAGCAAATGATGAAATCATGCACGTTCTTCTCTGAGTATATTTATTCTGCATTTAGATGACATTAAGAATTAATGTGTAGTGTGTAATGGTCGCATTCATAGTAACTGGTTTATATATTACCAGTGATTCTATTTTAAAAAAAAAACAACAAAAAAACATTGCCTCATCCAGAAACTTTTTAGCCCTACAATACAAATTTGGTTTCTTGAAATTTCTCGCTGATCCCAAATCTAAAAAAAAAAGCAGACCGTTTTTTTTTTCTTTTTTTTTTCTTTTTAAGCAATTCACCGCAAGCAAGACGGGATTGCTACAAGCTCGCATAGGGTTACAGATGATTGACAACAAAAATAACGAGGTCTGTTTGGGGGAAAGGATACAGAGACGAACGGCGAACAAGCTCAGGGTGTCAGATGTCGATTGACATTACACTTGAATATTTAAAGATTATAGTCATCGGGGAAGCAAGTAAGGGGAAGGGAGTTCCACAGACGGGAAGTGCAGGAGAAGAAGCTGTTTGAGTAGAAGAGAAGGCTACATTTAACTGTTTTAACAACGAAAGGGTGGGACCGCGATGACAGCCTGGTAACTCGCTTAAATTCATGCAGTCCGGGAACCTGCGAAAGTAGCTTGTCGGAACAGTTGCCGTGAAAATATTTGTAGAAGAGATAGAGGAAGACCTAGGGAAAAATTATGCAGAGCGCAACGTGACAGCTGATGTCGATCCCGGATTATGACTGTTATATACCGTGCCTATGAACACTAATGGCTAAGTCCCAATCCTCATAAATACGTTGGACACTATTGTAAGTGAGGGTAATATGCTTTCTAAGTAGTTCGACACTAGCAGTGGTTTACCTATTTCACGCCGCTGGCGAGTATTGTATTTTGTTGATGTTATAAAGATTACCATTTCATTTCGAATCTCCGTTTTTGTTATTCATCATTCAGTAATCTTTCTAGGTTACAAACGAAAGAAAGAAAGAAAGAAAGAAAGAAAGAAAGAAAGAAAGAAAGAAAGAAAGAAAGAAAGAAAAAAAGTGTTATATACCGTACTTATAATCACTAATGGTTAAGTCCCAGTCCTCATAAATACGTTGGGCACTATTGTAAGTGGGGGTAATATGCTTTCTAAGTAGTTCAACACTAGCAGTGGTTTACCTATTTCACGCCGCTGGCGATTATTGTATTTTGTTGATGTTATAAAGATTACCATTTCATTTCCAACCTCCGTTTTTGTTATTCATCATTCAGTAATCTTTCTAGGTTACAAACGAAAGAAAGAAAGAAAGAAAGAAAGAAAGAAAGAAAGAAAGAAAAAAGTGCTATATACCGTACTTATAATCACTAATGGCTAAGTCCCAGTCCTCATAAATACGTTGGACTCTATTGTAAGTGAGGTTAATATGTTGTCTATGTAGTCCACCATTAGCAGTGGTTTACCTACCTCACGCCGCTGGTGAGTAATTTATTTTGTTGATGTTATAAAGATTACAATTTCATTCTTAACCTCGGTTTTTGTTATTCTTAATTCAGTAATCTTTTTGAGGTCACAAAAGAAAGAAAGAAAAAAGAAAGAAAGAAAGAAAGAAAGAAAGAAAAAAATAAAAAAATAAAATGGTGAATGGAGAAGAAAGAGGAAAGGAAAATGTAAAGGCATTGGAAAGTGAAAATGGTGATGGAAAGAAAGAAGGACATAAAGAAATAAAGAAAATGAAATGAAATTGCAGAAGAACGAAAAAAAGAAAAAGAAAGGAACGGTAAAAAGAGAAACGGTAAGAAAAAAACAAAGAATGAAATAAAGAAAGAAAATGAATAGAAGATACAAAAGAAAGAAAGAAAGAAAGAAAGAATGAAAGAAAGAAAGAAAGAAAGAAAGAAAGAAAGAAAGAATGAAAGAAAGAAAGAATGAAAGAAAGAAAGAAAGAAAGAAAATGAATAGAAGATACAAAAGAAAGAAAGAAAGAAAGAAAGAAAGAAAGAAATAAAGAAAGAAAGAAAATTCTAAAAGTAGGGAGGGGAGAATGAGGAACTCAAAAATATGGAAAGAAAGAAATGAATAAAGAAAGTGTTATATACCGTATCTATCATTCCCCATTCATTAACCTTTTGTTGTTTACAACATATATATATATATATATATATATATATATATATATATATAACTTACCTATGAACACTAATGGGGATGTCCTAATACTCATAAATACTTTGAACACTATAGTAAGTGGTGGTAATATGGTGTCCAAGTAGTCGACCATTAGCAGTGGTTTACCTACTTCACGCCGCTGGTGAGTATTTTATTTTGTTGATATTATAAAGATTACCATTTCATTTCCAACCTCCATTTTGGCTATCCCTCATTCAGTAACCCTTTCTAGGTTACAACAAACTAGAAAGCACAACACAGTGAACTTGACCGCAGAAATACATAATAATAATAATAAGCAATGTTTCATCAAACAAAAACAAAAGAAAGAAAAATGGAAATGAAAAGACAAATGGCCTAGTATATTAAGATGTTTGTTAAAACATATCGGGTCCCCTAGCGGGTCTGAGTCCCATCCGTTAGCCTTTTCTGGTGAAAGAAGGTGAATAAAACTGGTTATTTTTAACTGATACGAAATATCTACTGTAAGACAGAAAAGCGGAATGAGAACAATCTTCCTCAGTGAATTTAATAAAGTGTTAATTTCGAAATTCTGAAAAGGCTACCGAGTATAGCGACAGACCGGTGAAGAAGACCGGTGAGTACAATGATCGAAACGTTATGAGGAATAGAAACACGATGAACTTTCTGACATCAATAGAAAAGCATATATGACAGACCGCTGAAGAAGAAACGTTGTGAAGATAACAAACAGGATGAACATGGTGGGATGAATAGAAAAGCACTGAATAAATACACCCCTGAAGAATACCTGTGTGTACAACGACCGAAATCTTCGGAGTAAAACAAACAAGATGATTATATTGGTTTGAACAGAAACGCATATAAAACAGACCCCTGAAGAATGCCGGTATGTACAACGGCCGAAACGTTGTTAATATAACACTGAAAAAAAGTACGGTTGTCTGGATAGCAAAAGATTCCATTGTTATTTTAAAATAATCCGACAAAAAATCTAATAAGTGAATTCATGAAATAACAAATTGCGGATGATATGTCACGCCACGCGTTCTGTAAAGTTCAGGACGACGCAAAAGTAACGCCTTTTTTTTCGAACTGAGGTGGATAGAACAACGTGGAACAGTTGCAGGGTCATCGCGATCACCATAATTGACACCAGACTTTTTCTTGTCGGCTATAATGCAAGATCTTATTTACAGGCTCAAACTGAATTCAATTTCTGAATAAAAAACGAGCAATTTCTGATAAAGTTTCTGAAATTTATTTAGAAGCGCGTAAAAAGGTTTGTAGACGTGTTGCTGATAGGTTTCAGCTTTGTATTGAATATGAACGTGGGTGTTTTGAACATGCAAAATAGTTTGTTAATCCTATCAAATCAGGTTGTTTTGATGTGACAATGCTTATAAATTTTCTTAAAATACTGTAATTTATTTTTTTAAAAATAAATTTTAATAAATAAAAAAAAGCGTTACTTTGGTCTCGGACCTGTATGCAGCCAACGTGATGATCACATATCATTACTGGGTGGAGAGCTTCCTAGACTGAAGTTAACAGCCAATGGAATCAACGGCCACATGTCCATGAGCAAGCCAAGCTTACAGGTTAGAGGACAGCCTCTTTCCCCACTGGTGGAAGAAACAGTTTAGTTAACAGTGACCTGACCATGTGATAGATAGTACTGGGTTTCAGCTAAAATATGTAGAGGTAACGAGACATCTGAAAAATGACCCTATCATCATGGCACCGATGACAATGATGATGGGGTAGCGTTTTGTTATTTAATTAAAGTTTTATAAATATTTTTAAACTAAATATTGTTGATGATTTTTATTGAATGCTAGCAGTAGAGCCCGGCGTTGACCGGGGATGTAACAGTAAGAGATAGATCAAGTATCGACCATCATAAAGACTGAAAAATAAAATTGACAAAGATTATTGTTTAAGGTTGACGGACACGCATGTCTTAATTAGTTTGTTTTTTTTTCTTGTTTTTTTTTTTTACGAATTGGTCAAACCTAAACTCAAACAAAAACATTGTTTTCAATCGTTATGGGTCTACCGATTGAATAGAATTTTATTATAAACAATTGTCTTGTAAATGGAATTTTTAAAGCATTCTAAATGTAAAATAAAAAAAAAAAAGTGTGCAAGACAATAAGAAACACTACCTGCCCCCCAAAAAGTGAAGTTTTGTTGAAATCGGTTTGAAAATGTAGAAATCCGATCCGATATATAAACGAACACACACACACACACACACACACACACACACACACACACACACACAACCTGGATTTTATAATAAGTATAACTCGATATGAGTTGTTCCCCTTTCATTCTCGCGATGCCTCTTAATCGTATTTTCAAATTGATTTCGTGCAAAAACAATTGTATTTTTCCAATTTTTGGTGCTGTCAGAACCACCGCAAGGTAATTTTACGTAGTCCTGTGAAGATTTGTTGAAATCGGTTGAAAAATGTAGGAAATCCGATCCAATATATAAACGTACAGACACACACACAAACACACACACACACACACAAAACCTGGGTTTTATAATAAGTATGATTTTATTTTATTCTATTTATTTTTGCTTTATTTTATTTATTTATTTTCATTTTATTTATTTTTATTTTATATTTTTATTTATTTTATTTTATTTTTTCTTTTCTTTATTTTCTTTCTTTTTATTTTATTTTTATTTATTTATTTTATTTTATTTTCTTTATTTATTTTCTTTTATTTATTTTTCTTTTATTTTATTCTATTTATTTTATTATTATTTTATTTTATTTATTTTAATTTTATTTATTTTATTTTATTTATTTTTATTTGTTTTATTTTCTTTATTTTTATTTTATTTTATTTATTTTTTTTTCTTTATTTATATTTTATTTTATCTTTTCTTCTTTTATTTTATTCATTTTACTTATTCTATTTTTATTTTATTTATTATTATTTTATTGTGTTTTATGCACGGAAAAATTCTGCTTACAGGTTCAAACCGAAAACAATTTCTGAATTAAAACAAGCAATTTCTGAAAGATTTTCTGAAATTTATACAGAAATGTGTCAAATAGTTTGTAGAAGTGTTACTGAAAGGATTCAGCCTTGTATTGAATATAAACGGGAGCATTATGAACATGTTAAATCACTTGTTAATCTTAACAAATCGTTTTGTTTTGATGTGACAATGCATATAACTTTTCTTAAACTATAGTAATTTATTTATGTTCAATGTAATTTAATAAATAAAAAAAAGTGTCCAATTTTGGCCTAGGCACTTCATGATGCATTTTTTAAGGAAAGTAAAATGCAATCCAAATATTAAAAAAAAGTTTTATACAGTTTACAGAACAAATATTCAATCTCAGTGTTCTCTGAAAAAATATTTTCAACACCAACAAAACATCGAACACATCTTTATAGACTTGAAACGTTTTTGACCAAGTGTGGTGCGAAGCATTTGGGAATCAATGAATAAATGTACAGGGTTACTCAGTTCTTTGAAGGAATTTGCATGAATTTAGTAAATGATGAATAAGTCATATAAGAAGAGCTGTATTTGAGAAGATTTTGCAGGAAGAAATTCGCATGAATAATCATGTGATTCTTCATAACTTATGTATTTAATGACTCAGCCATTAGCCTCAATAACTGGTTCAATACGAAGTCTGAAATGTTGAATCAGATGATCTTTATTTTGGACATTGTGCTAGCTTTGGCGGACTTGAGAGACCTCATAGATTTATTCAGGTATTGATTGACTTCTCTCATGATGACACCCAATATATAATAGTACAATTGATTCAGGGCTGGAGATCTAGGAGGCCATATGCTCATCCATTCTTGGATCGTCTTGACCATATGAAATGATGGTGCAGAGTCTTGTTCATAGGCGTACGGTCCCTTTTGACTTATCTACTTAATGAGTCTGCCATTAGCTTCAATAACTGGTTCAATACGAGGTCTGAAATGTTGAATCAGATGATATTTATCTATTTTGGACATTGTGCTAGTTATGGCGGACTTCAGACATCTTATATAGTCATTTTCTGAAATACAAAATATAATATTAGATTAATATGAAAATGTTTCAAATGGTTTGTGCAAGCGTTGCTGACAGGGTTCAGCTTTGAACGCGAATAGGAGTAGTTGAACAAATTAAATAGTTTTTTTTTAAACATAACAAATCATGTTGTATTGATGTGACAATATATATGAATTTTTAGAAACTAAGTTAATTTATTTTTGTTCAATAAAATTAATAGACAAAAGAGGCAATTACTTTCGCCGCATCCTGTATATATATACAAACCTCTGTGTTTCTGTATGTGCGTACATGTAAGTATGTCTCTGTGTGTGTGTGTGATTCCCTATATATAGAAGAAAAAATTTGGATATGATCCTGAGGGAGAGGTCTATATATTAGAAACTTTTGAAAATTACTTTTTCATGATTCTGTGTCATAAGAAATGCATTTTATTTATCTTTATATTGTATATTATATCTTTATATTATATTCATTATTATTATTATTATTATTATTATTATTATTATTATTATTATATATATATATATATATGTATAAAGAAATATAGTCTTAAGGTGTGCTATATTTATGGGATAAAGTGCTCAATATCAGAGATAGAGCGTGTGTAAATATTAAAGTGAACATTGAAGTCAACACTCAGAGGCGACAGGCTGTTTCATGTTAAACGTAATCGTCAAACTTGCGCCTCTGAGACTGATTTCACTGTTCACTTATAAATTATAATTATTGTATTAGTGTTTTAACCTTTTATATTATATTCTTTACTCTGTCCTGCATTGGGTTCTACATGGATTCTATCCTCTTGGAAATTTATATATATATATATATATATATATATATATATATA